CCCAAAGTGGACTGCACGAGTGACCCCGCCAGCCAGCAGTGTGATACTGGGGTATCAGCTGACCAGGAAAAACTGGTTTTGTTAGTATAAATGATTAGTATATTAAATCATATTTAACACGTCACTGTATATTGTATATGTTAAGTGCATGAATGAAAAAGACATTTGTCACTCATATCACTAATATAGTAGTACTATATAATCACTAATATCTCACTAATACATTAATATAGTTAGTGATATATATGAGTGACAATTATGTCTTTGACTTAGATTTCAGCATAAAATAAGCACAAACATTAAACATGCTGTCTTACTTTCCTCTCATTGCTGGGACAAAATACCTGACATCCAGAATTAAGGAACAAAAGGTTTATGTAGCTCACAGTTTGTAGAGGTTTCAGTCCATACTCAGCTGGCTCCAAGGCAGAATGGCACATGATAGAGGGCAGCAGTTTATGGTAATGGAAAACAGCAAGAGCTAAAAGGCAGGAGCAGGGGCTGGGGCAATAGCTTGGCAGTCTAAATGCCTGCCTGGCAAGCACAAGGACTAAGTTCTGTCCCCATACCACATGTTGTACCAGCCCTGGAACCCTTGTCTTGCCATGCTAACCCCAAAACTGAGCCTGGTAGTACATGCCTGTAATTCCATTGCTAAAGAAACTGAGACAGGAAGATCACTATGAGTCTGAGCTGCATAGTGAGACCCTGTATCAAAAATAAATAAAAAATAAAAAGGAAGGAACAGCTGCAGCAACAGAGAACACCCAAGCCCCTCTCCCTTCCTTATACTGCGTCCAGACTCTCTGCCCCAGGGTGGGTGTAGCACTCACACCCATAATCCCAGCACTGATCATTAATTAATCACAAATTCTAGAAGCCACCTATGACTCCATGAGGCTTTGGGGGGACAGTTAGACACAAACCATAACATTATGCCAATCAAAAAATGAGATGGGCCAGCCACAGTGGGGCACACCTGTAGTCCCAGCACTTGGTAGGCTGAGGCAAAAGGTAGTCTTTTTAAGTATGTTAGTGTTCTGAAACCCCAACTCACAAGATCAGGGTTACAGACCTAGCTTTGCCAGTCATAAGCTATGTATGTGAGGGGATTTTTGGTTTAACTTTCGTACGCCTAACAGTCTCATCTTTGGAGCAGAAGTATTGTGACCCACAAGGGTGTTGTGAGTAGGAAAATCAGCTAGTGTGTACGAAAGTGACTTGGAAGTTGGTGCAGGACTAAACAGGAACAAAGCTGGGTGTTCTTATCTTTGTTCTGTATTTGGGTCCAGAAAGCTGGCCTTTAGGAGGAGCCAGGATGGGGAAGGTGGCAATCTGCTGGGTGAGCGGATGTGGGCCTGAAACAATGGCAGGCTGTCTGAATTCCGTGGCAGGGTGGGGCACAAGGATGCTGGGATGGAGGCCCAAAAAAACAAGTGGATTGGAGAATGAGGGCTGGAGGAGAATCGCAAAGTGGGTCTAGCTGTGTTTATTCAAACAAGTGGAGAGATGGTAACTGGTTATGGTTTTACATTGTGTCAACTCAAGATCAATCCAGACACTGTTAGATCAGCCCCAGGAAGCATGGAATCTCTTTCTTTGAGGTTCCCAACAGTTCTCTTCCTAGCAACTCCTAAGCTTTCTGGATCTGAATTCCAGTGCTCACTAACCCTGTGCTCTCAGTGTCTCCTGTCTAAACAGAATGCTACCCAAAATACAGCTAGAGCTGCCCTTCATAGTCTTTTATACAGTGTACCGAATATTCAGTATCCTCTTTCCTAGAAAGAAAAGCAAGGCTTTATCTTTTTTAGTTTAATAAATTGAAATACATATCCAAAGTAGTCACCAATAGACAGCACTGCCCTTCAGGTGAGATTTGAGTGGGTGACAACAATCACCTTCAGTCTTGGTCACTGACACCACCATCCTAAACTGGAACAGGAATCAGTGTAGCATGCTTAAGCAATCAGTGGATATTTTTAAAGATAAAATTGTTTTGAAATACAGTGTTTCATCAGGATGGACCAAATGAACACAGTTTAATGGGAGTATTTTAAGTTTCAATTAAGTTTCCCTTTTATAGAGGAGGATCCCCGGGCCTAGGAAGGTCGAGTGCTTTGCAAGGTCACAGTACAGTGCTGTTTGAGGAGCCTGGTGTATATAGTAAGACTTGTGGAGCAGGAAGCCTTATACTTGTGTTGGTCACTGCATGAGACCTTCAGCTTCCCTATAAAATTCCCTTTATAGGAGAATAGCTGAAGAAAATGGGCGTGGGGGGCCCAGGAAGAGACCCATAGGTGAGGAAGGGCTGTGGTGTGGCAGAGGGTGGTGTGGAGGGAGACCCTGGAACACCTTCTCCAGGTTGAGACTTCTCTGAAGAGAGTCCCATACTGGTGGAGTGGCCCAAACCCTGATCCCAGCAATCTCTTAAGTCCATTTGTGGCAGATGACAAATGTGTGTGCTCCAGTAAAAGTCATGTCCTCTTTGCGGTTGGTTATCTAAGACCTCCCAAGCTCAGCTTGAAGCAGTGCTTACTCTTCTGCCCTACTCATTTTGAGAAAAGTTTTGGGGACCCGAGGGTATTTCCCTATGTGGATGCAGCCCCTGCTCACAGATGCTGCCCTCTGAGCTGGGAAGGGGCTGTGGTCCCCAGCCGAGACAGAGCCAGAGGGCTTGGCCCACAGGATCAGGTGTCTAAGAAAGACAGCCTGCTCTTGGAGGAGGAACTTCTGGGGGGACCTACTGGAACAACTCTCCCCTATTAAGGCCAGGACACCTGGAAGAGAGAAGGGCCAGGCTCAGCAGCACGGAAAGGGCAGGGCCTCACAGAGTTGTGTTTCAGCTCTTGGGTACTGCTTACCAGGACAGGGCTGGTCCAGAGGCTTCCTGGGAGGGAGGCCCACCACACTGGCCTAGGACACCCCTCTACCCCCTCCGCTCCTTCGTGTCTCCCTACCAAGATGAGGATTGAATGGAATGCAGGTGTGAATAGGGCACAGTGCTGCGGTTGTAAAACACTTGGGCTTTCCCATCAGATTTCCTGATGTTCTGGCAAAGCCAGCTGTCTTGCTGTTTCTGTTGTGTACAGAAACCAGATAATACTCTAAAGGGAATGGCCTCAGGGCAGTCGCGTTCAGTGCCAGAGCCCAGGTAGAACAGGGCAGTGGGAAAGGACTGTAAAAGTCCTTTGGCTATTGAGACCCCCACCCTCCTCTCTGGTTAGTTGGGGAATGGTATCTTTTATGGCCATGTTCTCAGTTACCCAAAATAGTGGAGTCACAAATTTTATATCTGTTAACATGTAGTTATTAAATTTATCCATCAAAATATTATAGCATGACGCATGTACCTATTTTTTGAAAGTGTTTTTCTAAATACGTCACTATACCAAAAATAGTGTATTCTCCCAAGGTCTTAGTGTAGGAGGAGCTCTTACTGTATTACTTCCAGTCTCTTGCTAAATATTTGTCTTTGTACTCTCCGTCCTCCAGCACTTTTTGGCTATACACCTGTGTTTTGGGGTCAGCCTGGCCCGAGCCTCTAGCTCCCAACCAGTCAGCCCACCAGACCCATCCTGCCTGGATTTCTGGAAACCCTCAAAGCTGAGCCTCTCCAGACCCCTCTTGACTTCACCCTAGGAAGGCCCCACTTATACCCACTATGCTTCTGGAGGACTCCTCCAGCCCTCAGGCACTGCAGGGGTTGTTAACATCGTAGTAAGGTGGGCTGAGGAGGGACTTATAGCTATTATTTTCTTTTTTAAAAACTTAATGGAAAATTATCAGAAAAATTCATTAGAAATTATCAAGAGTTACCAGAAAATTTTATTAGAAAAAAGCAATAGATTGAGGTATCTGTATTATTTTGTGTAATCTTTTGGGATTTTTCCCCCCAGTGCTGGGGATTAAACCAAAGACATCATAATATCTTCTGCCACTCACCCACACCCCCAGCTCTCATGAAACCTTTTTTGAGAATGAAGTTCCACTGGGCATGGTGCGTGCACCTATAGTCCTAGCACTCAGGATGCCAAGGCAGGAGGATTGCTGTGAGTTTGAGGCTATCCTGGACTTCATAGTGACTTCAAAGCCAACCTGGACTACATTCCAAGCTCCTATCTCAAATAACAAACAGGAACAAGGAGAATCAGGTGTGGTGGCACATGCTTACAACTCCAGCACTCACCAGGAGTTCAAGACCAGTCTGGGCTATATACTGGGTTCAAACCTAGCCTGAACTCATAGTGATACCCCATTTAAAAAATTTAAAAATTTAGAAAATATATATAGCCATACAGGAAAAGAAAAGACGGCTTGGTGAAATATGAAAAGGAAAATGGGGGCCAGGGAGATAGCTTAGTAGAATAAGTGCTTGCCTGGCAAGCACAAGGTCCTGAGTTCAATCCCCAATACCACAAAAAAAAAAAAAAAAAAGAAAGAAAAAGAAAAGAAAAGAGAAAACTTGGAACTTTCAACTATATGTGACGGTTGCCAATAATTTTAGTCAAATACTTTGATAGAAGCTTGAACTGTAATTTAGAAGAAAGCACATAAGTGCACTAGACTCCAAACGAAGCCCCAGTATTATCACTGAACAAAACACAAGCTATCAAATCCATCCAGTTGAGACTTAAATTAAAAATTCTCAACTCAAAAACCAAAACATGAAAATATTCTCTAAAATAGACAATAACCAGACTGATAATTCTCTTAAGGTTTCTAGAATAAAGTAAGAGCTGGGCAGTCCCAAGACTGCTCTACAAAAATCCCCTGTGCATGAGGAGAAGGGAGCAGATGTGATCTGCCCAGAGTCTGTAAACAGACTGCAGAGGAAATGAGGCAGAAAGCTGGGGACAGGAAAACAATGTCCCTATCCAAAACAGGCATGCAAGGAAACAAACAGATAATACACTAGTTTTGTTTTTATTTGTAAATTTATAGCCAAATTTAGGTGACCTTTTATTTTTTTATTTTTATTTTTTTTTGGCTTTTACATTTTTATTTGGGGACAGGGCAGGGGCCCACTTCCCGTCCATTACAGAGGTGCTCACAAGTTCTTCAGCCACTCCAAGCTGGGGCCCTGGGCATCCTGGGGGTGGCTGGGCACATCAGGCATGTTCCCATCATCTCGGACGGGCACTGGGTAGTTGTAGGGCGTGGCCTGGTTGATCATGCTGGAGTATTTGGTGTAGGGACTGATAGGGGGCATTATTATAGCGAGGCCCCCGATGGCGAAGGACACAACCAGCACCGGCTCCTGGGCCCAGGCGTTCTTGAGGAAGGCTGCGACTCTAGACGCCATGTTGCTCGGCGGTGGCGGGGGCGGCGGCGGCCTAGGTGACCTTTTAAATAAGAGGGAAAGTACACATAATGGAAATTTATTCATGATCCAAGTATTTGTCTTAAAAAGATTATTTTGGCCTCCTTCATACCAAGTTTTTTATCCGAATAGCTAATAAATAGCTAACTTGAAAGATTTTATTTAAATTGTTAATACCCTTTTCCAGGCAACCTTAAAAGAAATACTAACAAGGCCAGTAAAGAAGGAAAAGAAAACCATTTAGTGGTATTTATACCAAAATGCTCATGTGTATTATAGCAAAGGTTTGGAGAAACTTCACTGTGCATAAAGGAAGAATAATTTGGACCCTTTCTAGGGGGTCAAACAGTGTGAAGGGCGGGGGGCTCTGGGCCACTGAGGCAGTCACATTCCCTAATTTTGGGCCAAGGGCCATCGCTTAGCTAGTACTTGCTCCTAGTGGCATTTGCAACTGGTAATAGTTTTTGATAATAGTAGCAGCTGTTTATAGAGCTTGGTTTTGTATAGTATATTACAGCAAATACTTCATGGGTATTGTCATTTAGTCGTCATGTTAACACTAGTAGAGTCTGATATTGGCTTCATTTGGCAGATGGAGAAACTGAGGTACAAATTTAAGAAACTTGCCCAAGGTCATGACAGCACCAGGACCACTTGACACCAAGGCTTAGGCTTTCTGTCACTGTCTATGATTTGGACACACTCTGCCTTACCCTAAATGCTATTTAGGTCAAGCCCTGTCTTATGAGTGGACTGGTACAGTGCTTTGGGAATTTCTCTGTCCTCACCCTGTTTACTCTCTGTACCATTCTCTTTCTGTGCTCCCTTTTGTGGGAAGGCTTGATTTATACTCAAATGTTAGGTAGTAGGCATTCCTAACTACTGCCCTGGAACAAAACTATATCCAAAGCAAAACTATTTAGTATTTGAGTGTCACATATTTAAAGTTTATGTTTTTGCCAGGCATGGTGGTACACCCTGTAATCCCAGCAATCAGGAGGCCAAGGGAGGAGGATCACCGAGAGTTTGAGGCTACATAGTAAGTCTATGCCAGCTTGAACTACATAACAAGACCTTGTCTCAAAATATTAAATGAATGAATGGTTTATATTTTCAAATAAAATTAAAAGTAGAATTTCATGGGAAATACTGTTTCCCTTAAATATTCACCCCAGGGTACCTTTATCTCTGGGCATATTAGAGAAATTGCAACCTAGAGGCAGGGAACACACCTGGCCAAGCAGCATGTGGGCGGCTCCCAGGCTGAGGCTGGGTACAGCTTGGACCCCTGCCCATGGCAGGCCTCTCAAGTCCAGGCTACGCACTGGAGAGTCGTCCGGGTCATGCCTTGTGCACCTTGGTAGTTTGATTTCTAGTACATGCATATTCACTAAGTACAACCATAAGGACATGGAAAAGCTAAGGCTTTTAGTACATTTGGGTCCTCATGCTCCTGAAATGGAGAGTGTGGTAGCCACACAGTTACCACAAGCCTGGGTTTGAGGCCCAGTTCTGCCACTTGTTGCCTGAATGGTCTGGGCCATGCTCCACAGCCCGTCTGAGGCCCTGCTTCATCATTTCCAAACACACTGCAGTGAGGAGTCGGGATAATGTGTGTGTGGCATGCACAGGGGCACTGGGCACACAGACGGCTGTTGGCTGGACTTGGGCAGCTCATCATGTGATCTCCCTACTGCCCAATAAACAAGTTGTGGTGGGGACATGGATGCACGTGGAGGGGATGTGAACCCTCAGGAAGACTTTGTGGAGGGGCTCCAGCATACACATGAGACATAATAGCCCCCAGCGTACACACGTCATAGTAGCCCCCTGATTTAGGAGGTAATTATTAGTGACAAGTCACCTTGCTGTGTTGCACATCTCTGTAATGTTCAGCAGGATATATGCTAGTGAAGCAGAAAGCAGGATATAGAAACTTGCTGCCCAGACAACCTCCTGAAACTCTGATTTTGAGCTTTTTTCTTCTGTCTTTTGGGGCTCCGTTTGTTAGTCTGACTCGAGAACTTGTGCCGAGAGCCACCGTAGTACACGCACCTTACTACAGTCTGCCTTTTCCATCTTGCCATTGGTTGTCTGATGGAAGAAAAGAAAATCTGTGTGTTTTTGCAGGGCCTCCTGCGTCAGGGCACTGGGCTGCATGAGCGTCCATCATTCCGCAGCCCACCTGCAGGTCGCGGGCCCACCACCATAGTCAGATCAGCCGCTGAGCAGGGGAAGCTAAAGTAGTGAGAGAGTGTGCTCAGAAAGCACTTCAGGGTGGTTAGGAGTGAGACACAGTGGGAGCACTGGAGGGGGACTGATATGGTGTGGAAACTAAATCCTTCACATGCACACACACACACACACACACACACACACACACACACACACACATCAAGGCCTGACTCTATACACATGTGCTCCCAATTTTACATTTTTAGCATTTAAGAAAAAAAAAAAAACCCTAATTTAAAAAGTTTGTTGCCTGTGAAGTCTAAGACCCCAACATCAAGTCCCAGTCCCTGGATGTTGAATAAAACCTATCAGCAGAACTTGAAGGATTGTTCTTTTCCTTTTTTTGAGCCAAAGCAGCAAGGGTAAGCAATTTGTCAGTATATTGGAGCTGTATGTTGGTGTTTTAACTTGTTTGGATGATAGTATCTTCCTGGACAGTAGGTGGCCCTGGTTTGTCTTATGCAGCTCTGCTCTAGACCAACAATCTTGATTTACTTTGTGTGTGATGTTTCGGTTTTCCCTTTTCTGTGTCAGAACACTTTCTTGACATTTTTTTGTACTCAACAAGGGTCTTTCTTCCCAGTAGCATAGATGGAAAATAGCAAGCGGGCCAGTTCACATTGGCCTGACAGCTTGGTAACAGAGGCCATAGCTCCATGCAGCTTAGTGTGAAGATGCTATTTGCATTTGCATTCTTTTTTTTTTTTTTTTTTCAGAACTGGGGATCAAACTCAGGCCCTTGTGCTTGCCAAGGAAGCACTTATTCTACTGAGCCATCTCCCAGGCCCCTCGTTTGCATTCATTTATTAAGGTTTATTAGCACCTGTGTAGTTACAGCTCCAAAGGCTAGGGATACTGTTAAGTTTCAGCCCTCGCAGAGTTTGTATTCTGTGGTAAAGCACACATTCACCAGGTGTTTCCGTATAATCATAGTTAGTGATAGAAAGAAAAATATCCTTTGAGTATGTGATAGGGGAAGCTGGCTTGGTGGTGGAGCCCAGGGGCGCCTGCTGCCATGGCTGGAAAAGCCTCCAAACTGCAGAAGCAGCTGCAGCCCAGGCCCTGAGATGGGACGGACCCAGCGCGTTTGAGGAATGCAGAGAAGCCTCGTGTGGGTTAGAGTGGCAGGAAGTGAAGTCAGATCTCAGAGAACTTCGTAAGCCTCTGAAGGGGTCTTGGCACTTGCATGCTGGTTTCTGGCGAGTCGCACCCTTGGTCTGACTCATTGTGGCCAGAGCGTTCTTCCTTCTAGAAGCTGGCTCTGCCCTAGAGAGTATCTTTCCCCAGTGCTCCTCTGAGGTGTCTCACTGACTGGTCTCGTGCTGCTCCCTGACTGGCTCCTTCCTAATCCCCGGCCAGCACCTCTGTCCTCAGGCCTATAGTGACAGGCTGAGAGGCCCAGCAGAACTCACCTCGGATCATCATCTCCAGACTGGATGGATGTTTTTTGTGCTGTGAGTGACTGAGTGCATGGCAGGTGCCTCCTGGAAAATGCCCACTGGACAGCTGTTGTTTACCTCGAGAGCTGTGGAGGATCCTGGGTCTAAGGTCACTTGCCCAACAGTGCCCAACCTGTCCTGGGAATGGCCACCACGGTCAGGGGTCTGCTCACCTTAACACCAGTCCTCACATACCCTTCGGGGGATTTTGGCACGCTCTTCAGTGTCTTTCAGTGATTTCCTAGCATGTGACTCAGGCTTGCTGTGCCCTAGAAGTCTGCCTCTTAGATCCTATCGTGAAGCATCTTCAGGAGTGGTCTTATATAACAAACCCGTAGCTTGGACTCAGCAGTGCCCTTGTGTGCTATATAGAGCGAGTCACCTGCTCTGACTTAGTTACTGCTACATGTGTACACGGGCAAGAGGCCGCAGAGTACAGCAGGCTGGACACGTTCTGCCAGCAGGAGCCACGTGGTCTGCTTGAGCAGTTCACTTCTCTGGGCTCGGGGTCTGCATCTACTCTGTTAGCATGATAAGAACAGCAGCATCCATACCTCGGTATCTCAATTGACTGAATGTTCTGAGCACATTCTAATATTTCCATGTTGCATGCTCACTTCTTAGAATTGAGAAGGCAGTGATATGAATCAGGGTGCACATTGCTTTACCAGCTTGAAATGCGCCAGGTAAAATAATTTCATTCAAAATTGGTTGGGTAATTCATACAAATGAAAATTATAATAAGCAATATTTATGGCAACTGTGCTTGCATAGTACTGACTTACAAGTATATATGTATTTATAATCCAGATTATTAAATTTTAAATGAATATTTACTGAGGGCCTTCTATGTATCAGGCCCTGTTTTTGTTGTTTATGATTGGTGAAGAAAAGCAGATTGCTAAACTTGTGGGATTTAAATTCTACCAAGGAGAGGGCCAGCCAAATAGCTCTGTGGATTAAAGTACCTGTAAGCAGGCACAGGGGCCGGGGTTCCATCCCTGGGGCCTACCCCTGCCCCCAGGATGTGCTGAGACAGCAATTGAGACTGGGCATGGTGGCACATACCTGTAATCCCAGCACTTGGGAGGATGTAAATAAGCGGATCACTATGAGTCCAGTCTAGTAGTGAGACCCTGAACACCCTGTAGACCCTTCCCTAAAATACAAAAAAATAAAAATAAACAAATTCTACCAAGGAAATGGACAGTAGATATAAATAAGCAATCTATGTATTAGAATATTCTATCTGCTATAGAAAAAAAGCAGATCAGGATGAAGGCAGCTGGGCATGAAGGGCAGGGGAGCAGGTTACATTTTAGTCAGGG